ATTACATCAGTAGAATTAGTAAATAAGAAGGGTGAAAAATTCAATATACTTAATGAAAACTTAACTGATGCTGTTAATGTATCAATATACCATTACTATATACATACACCTTTAAAAATGGAAGCATCAACCATTAAGAAAGCAATTGAGAAAGGGCATTATATAGATAATATGTGTTGGATTAATGCCCTTACTAACTTTTACAAGGATACAATTATGAATGAGAAAACAAGAAAGAGATTGACAGTTGAAAGGATTGTTGAAATTTTAGGTAGAAACGATTTTTATGAAAAAGGAGCATCAATTCAGGAAATGGAAAAAGTATTTGTAGAATTCAGTATCCAAGTTAGAATATACAACTATTTAAATGCTTTAGTGTATAAGTATGACCCACCCAAAAGAAACCACCATATCAAGACCTTTTACGCTTTAGTTAAAAACAACCATATCTATGTTTTAAATCACGACCTCAAGAGCATTCAACAGAAGCAGGAAAGTAAAATACCTACAGTAAAAGCATCTACTGACTACTATATAAGTGATAAAGAAGAACCACCAAAATTTAAGATGATAAACAACATAGATGATATACTAAAAATTGAAATCGTAGAAGATACAAAACAAATAAATTTAATTGCTGAAAATAATTGTTTAACAGAATTATTTTTTCAACTGCTTACTTCTGGATATGAACCAAAAATAAGGTTTCAGGCAGGTATTATAACAGAAATCATTATGAAATTTAACAAAACTAAATATATCATCAAAACACAAAATCTAGTTAAAACTTCTGCTGATGGGTGTATAGCAGTTAGTAATGAAACTGCATATAACAATATGAATTTAGCATTTTTTAACTTTCATAAATCTTTATTTAATGTCGCCCATAAATCTTTTTATAATGATATTGATATTAAGATATTAGATGAAACTAGGACAGTAGTGCCAGTAGGATTATTTAATCCAGATTGTAAGACCGGTAAAGGGAAAACTGAAATAGATTTATCTAAAGCATTTGCTTACCAACTTGTAAATATTGTAAATGCTATGGTATTCAATCAGTTTGACATTTGGAAAGTTTATAATGAGAGTATTAATATTAATGAACTATCAGATTATACTTTGTATTATGTTGAAGTGGCTGGAGGAAACCCAATATTATCAGGTAAGTTAAGAAATAGAATGTTGTTTTTCAACAAGAAGCATAACTTAATATATGGCAAGTTATTGAAACAGATTACTGATACAAGAATTCTAAAGAATATAAAAGTGTTATATTACAAAACCCCTTCACAAGTCCATAATGTAGATTATGAAGAATTATTCAATGAATTGAAGGGTATGACAATAAGTGATATAGAAGAAGAAGACAAATATTTAAAGAGACTTATTGTTAATGTATTGATAGGATTATTGGAAAAAGGAGGGGCTACAGACCAGAAAAGTTTAGTATTCAAAAATTTAGCAGAGGCAATAAACTACCAGAGTGAATACGGTGGCAAATTACACAAACTAAAAGATGTAGAACAAAATGAAGAAGGATATGAAAGGGTAAAACAAAAGTCTTATATCTTAAATTTAAGTGATAAAGCAAAATTAAAAAATGGATTTACTGTAGATATATTAAAGAACTACTTTTACAACAACATAATATGACGATGAATGAAGCATATTATAAGTTAAGAAATAATGGAATTGATATTCATAGTGTTAAAACTGATGCTTTTGTAATTGATACTTCTGATGTTGATAAGGCTAAAGAATTATTGAATTTTCATAATGATATAGGAGGATGGAGAGTTAGTAAATCTGATGATGACATTATATTACCAACTACCATATATGATATAGTACAGAATGAAAAAATAGAAATACCAACTTATCAGAATAAAGTCATTGAAATTAAAAATGAATACGACACTGATGATATCATTGAAGTTATCAAGGAAAATAACCCTATGATGATAAGAGGTGTTTTTCCAGGCACTGGCAAAAGTTATATATGTCAGAAAATGGTAGATAAAGGTTATAGGGTAATGTTTGTATGTCCTACTAATAGACTGCTACAAGAATTTGAAGGAGATGCTTTAACATTGAATAAGTTTTTTGGTATAAGTTTTGGTGATGTAAAGTTAGAACCATTTGATTGTTCAGGGTATGATGTTATAGTTTTTGATGAGATTTATTTTAGTAGTTTAAGCACTTACTGGAGAATAAAGCAATTTGTAGAAGAAAATAAAAGCAACAAAATCATAGTAGCAACAGGAGACACAAAGCAATTAAAACCTATTCAACCACTAACTAACATTCAAGAATATGAAGTGTATGCTGACCATATCATCAACAATATATTTACAAATAGTATATTATTAAAAGAATGTAAGAGACTGAAAACAAAAGAGGATAAAGAAAAATTAAGCAATGTAAAAACTGATATTCTGGCAAATAAACTTCCTTTCAAGAAAGTAATTGAAAAATATTTCAGATATACTACTAGCATAAGTGGTTCAAAGCATAATATTGCCTATCTAAATGACACCTGTAAGAATGTAGCAAGTGAAATCAGAAAACTGGAAAATAGGAAAGATGAATATGAAGTCGGTGAATTCTTAATATGTAGAGAATATACTAAAACCCCTACATCAGTATTTAATGTAAATTTTAAATATAAGATAGTCCATATTGGAAAGGATGGAGTAATGACATTGAAAAATACTAAAACTAATATACTACAATCCTTAAAAATTCAAAAGGCAAGGGATAATTTCATTTTCGCCCATTGCACTACCTGCCATTCAGCCCAAGGTAGTAGCATAGATGGAGATATAACAATATTTGATTATAACCATTTTGACATTAGAAATTATAGGGAGTGGTTATGGACAGCAATTTCAAGAGCCAGAGATTTAAACAAGGTAAAGTTCTATAAATATAGTGATGATGTAAATGATGAATTCAATTATACATGTATGAAGAGTTATTATGAAAGAAAAATTGAAAATTACAAGCAACAGGACAGGAAAGCAAAAAGAAAAATACCAAAAGAAGGCTATGTAAATGCTAAATGGTTTTTTGATAATATAACTAACCAATGTAATTACTGTGGATGTGGGTTTCATAGCGCTATAAAAAATGGAAATATAACAACAAATCTAACCGCTCAAAGAGTAAATAATGATTGCACTCATACACTGGATAATATAATACCATATTGTAAGAGATGTAATAGTAGTTGTGGAAAATACTAAGTATAAAATATACATATATACATTAATATTTATATAAAATAAAATCAGAGGCTTCAGACCATCACTCTGCTTGATGCGCTCCTTCTTCTGCTGACAGGGGGGTGCAATGGGGAGCTGGGTTAAAGGGGTTTATTAATAATATTTCTGCTAAAAAGTATTTGAAGAAATATTATGAATGACAATATATAATCATAATTTAATACATATGGTTTAAGACATTCTAATAAGAATATGTTTTTCTATCAACATAACCTTGCCCGACAAACTACCACAGAAATTATAACATAATTTTTTGGGATGATATATAGTGGGCAAGGTTAGGCTTATAGATTTTTTTGTGATGTTGTTTGTGGTGAGTTTTTGTTTTGGTTTATGGATTGTTGTGTGATTATTATTGTTTATATAAATTCAGGCGGGCAATTTTTCAACAAGACAAGTCTTGTTGAAAAATTGGAGTTCTTTTTTGATTTGAGTTTATGGTTGATTGTTATGATTGGTTTTTGCTGGGGTGTATGTGGTTGATTGTTATGATTATTGTTTGTGAAATTTTGTTATGAGTTATGTTGATGATTTTGTTGATGTTTTTTTAGGGGGATGTGTGTATGTTGGGGTCAGGGGTTCAGGGTTGGAAGATGGGCAAGGCCCATTCTAACTTATATATATATGATATGTGAATCATATCATATTTGTATTGGTATCTCTAATACCGAGTAATGTGTAATTATATTGTCGAGTCTGAATTAGAGATGGATCTAATGTAATGAATCGAAGAATTCAACCAATGGCGATACCTCACAGTAGAGCAGGTCATAGGCTAGGTTGAGCTGCCAAATTGCTCGGTTCTTCTTTTAAAAAAACAATTCGGGTATGGGTCAAAACCCTAGTTTCCTGGTGACTAAAATAGCTGGTAACATCTTCCAACTAGATGCTGAGATGCTCATCCCACAAAAAATGCTATGATGTATAGTGGACTCTGATCCAATCCATGGAATCCATGGCCCTTTGAAGGTGAAAATGGATGAACATGCTGGGAACCAAGTCACCGAACTCCTTTCCGGTAGGCGGATTCATCCGTCGCCGCCATTCCAGCGCCGGAACCCGGGAAGAATTTCGGGCGCCCTTTGCTTCGGCGACCCCAAAGCTTGGACCGGGACGGGGCGATGAATGGCACAAAATGCCCAAAAATATCAAAGATTTATATAGACTGACAACTTCAAACAAACTCTGCACAAACATCATCCAGAGGCAAAAGCACTCAGACTGACAACTTGAATGCACGTGAGGAGCTGCCTGACTCCAAACTCTCCTCCTGGCGAAAAGCTCCCACCATCCAAGTTTGAATTGCAGAAGTCAGAAAATCTACACGGAAAATGAAACGATGATCTATATATATATATAAGTGCATCATGCAGCCGGTCTCCTCTTGAACAGGTCGTGTCATCTCAGCACGACCTGAAAATTCTGGTTGTTTTCAAATACTCTCAACTTTGTTTTCAAAGTAGTTCCATGACTAAATCCGGTGCCTGCAGATTGGAAGAGCTTCTCCACATTGCTCATGCCCGCCTGCCAAGTTGAGGGCACTGTCGCGGCACATTGCTGTGACAAAAAAAACAGATTTCACCACTGCCTGTGCTTCGGTGTTGAAAGGCCTCGAAGAGAGGGCTGCACATTGAAAACTTCCTAGAAATCCCTTCATTTCGATATGAGGATGGCCAGCAGGGCTCAAGATTGTGGTACCCATTTGGAGGTATCTCAGCGATCACAGGCGCCCGGCGGTGTTTGAGGGATGCCCGGCGGACCTTTGTCCGTGCTCACATCCAGGCTTTGAAATGTTGGGCACAAAAAGGGTTGGCCAAAAACAAAAGATCAAACTTGGTCGTCCAAAGGAACAACAATATTAAAATATATTTAATATGGATGTAACCGATGTGAAACACTGAGCTTCTCCTCCTGGTTTTGGCTTTGTCTGAAAACTCAGTACCCCTTTCGATCCACTGACTTATCATCACTTTCCCCATACAAAAAGGTGTATTCGGGCGATACCATGTGCATCAGCAAGTCTGGGACAAGGACTTTGCACTGAGTTGGGACCGAACATCCCCGGTGGAGCCTTGCAGCTCAACATCCACCAATCTGGGTCTGAAAATTGCCGCTCCCATCCCATCCGTTAGTATTCCCATGTATTCCCCATCAAAGTGCTATTTTATGGCTATTTTATGGCTATCCCCCCCATTTTACAAATACATACTATTCATATCTATTCATATGTGGTAGAAACATCTGTGGTTGGAAACATCCAGCAGCTTTTCCGAACAATCGCTCGCCCTGCGCCTGCCAGGCTGCGCCTGCAGCATCCCAAATCACCAACAGAATCACTGGGGTCAACCCTATCTTGGGATCTCCCTTCACCAATGGCTGCTCTCTTGGCCTGTCCGCAAAGCATCTGGCCTGCCACTGTCTCCACTTGCAGCTTTTTTCATTTTGGGCTAAGAAAATCCGCCCAAAACTTCAAGTGATCCAAACTTCAACTGTGCAAAATTCCATGATTCACCGAATTCACCAACTTGGCCATGCATTTAGGATAGTTACTCTACTCCGATTCCCCTGATAAAAAAAAATGTCGTCAGGAAATTTCGCCTGAGGGTCGCGGCTTGGCCTCGGCACGTGGCATGGTGGAAGTTTACCAGCTGAAGGTTTGCCTGAAGTGTTTTTTCCGCTTTGGAAAAATATAATATAGCCATATAGCTAATACAACTAAAAATCCATATTTCTGCAGCTGAACATCCAACATCCATATAGAATCATATGTGATTCATATGTGATTCATATGTGTATAAGTTCCAAGGATGTTGGTGTTTACCGCGGGACCATGGTTTCGACTCATCTTCCTATTCGTGCTCCCGTTGGTATGCTGGTGAATCTTTTCTTAGAAGATATTCCGCTTGGAACAGCCTCCATTGGGGTCTATTTGCCAAAGATAAGTTTTCTCCATTGCCATTGAATTGCCATAGGGATCCATAGGGCACTTAAAATACTGCGAAGAACTTCTTGAAAAGCTGGCAAACATATCTGAAGTGACATGGAGGGGAACAAAGCTATCCACCAAATCAAAGGAACACTGCTTCCCCTCACCAGTTCATCAAAGTTAGAATCACAAGCATAAAATCATCTACTGCTTCTGAAATCTTTTATCCCATCACCTCCAGCTCTGCGCCCGACTCTCATCTGTGCTCTCAGAAGCAGATGGTGCAGATGGTGCAGGTGGTGCAGGTGCAGATGGTTTGGAAGGCGTTGCGACCTGGTAGAGTGGTGCTGAAACATTGCTCATAAAGTTAGAACAGGGATGATATAACAACTAAATACAATTATATAACATCAATTAATGGGATTAACCAAAACGCTGGAAAAGATGAATACAAGATTAGTGTTGGATACCGCCTGAAACAACTACCGGGGATGGTTGGAATCCCCACCCAAACGTCTTGGGGATGGCTGATCATTGCGTTTACCACAATACTGAAGATAGGAGCAGAGATTGCTTGGAGCATCTTCACCCATTGGGGTGAACCGGCTTGAAATACAAACCCATTCTTTCCATAATCAAGAGTTGTTCGGGAAACGGAGTTCAGCTCGATTTCTTGTCACGCAAAGCAAATTCATTCCAATTCCGAGTCCTGGACTGTTGCTTGGAATGGTGGAGGGTGTTGTGGTGGCTGTTGTGGAGGCTGTTGCGGAGGTTGTGAGATCTGTCTGGCCGGTGACTGGGTGGGTTGTGCTTGTGGTGCCATCTGTGGTGGCTGCGTGACTGGCTGGGGTGGCTCCTGTGGCGGCTGCTGCGGCGGCTGCTGTGGAGGCTGTTGCGGTGGCTGTTGCGGTGGAAGCGTTGGCCTGGCTGATGGATGAGATCAAGACAAGATAAACAAGGTGCCTCACAGTTGGCTAAGTTGGTTTATAAGTTGGTTAGCCTATATCCAGGAAAAATACATTTATAGTCTGTAGAATGGGGTTACAAATCGTTTTATATCTGAGGGGGCATCATCTTGAATATGGAGATGGATCTGTCAGCTTGTATAATGCTTTCTTGAAGAAAGACTGACAACCTGTATGCAACAGAGACCCCTTGGGAGGGACTTCAAGCACGCCAGCTGCACGGTTGAGCTAGTGACGGATGTGGTGGCTGCACTGGAGGCTGCATAGGTGGCTGCATGGGTGGCTGCTTGGGTGGTTGTGCCGGTGGTTGGAGCGGCCTTTCAGGAGGCTGCACAGGTGGTTGTGCTGGTGGCTGCGCTGGCTGCTGCGGCCTTGCGGCAGTTGGTGCAGCCGTGGCTGGGGGAGCTGTGGTTGGTGCGGCTGGTGCAGCTGGTGGGGCGGTCGTTGGGGCTGCAGGTGTGGCTGGAGGTTGGGTGGGCGCTTGCATGGGTGGCCGGGTGGGTGGTTGTCGAGGCTGAGGCGGCATTGATGGAGGCTGGGAGGGAGGCTGTAGCGGAGCTCCAGCTTTGGCCACCTGATCCGAGGCTGAGCATTGAGTTGCACACTGAGCATTGAGTTGTACATCAGACTTTCAGTCAGGAGATTCTCTGAGGCAAATGCTGCTGCTGCTTCTGGAGCTTGGGAGGGCGCCGCCTGTTGCGGCATCAACAAGCAACTCGCGTGCCAACCAAAGTTTGCGCATGGGTGGAAAATTGGGTGTAATACCTCGAAATGGGATGGTTCAGCGAAACAAATCTGGTTGCCAGTCTGTCGGAACATGACCCGTGCCCATGTCTTGCTCTTACGAAGCTCGACATTAAGTTGTCCGAAGCATGCTGCAAATCGCTCCTGAGGTCCAGGGTTTGCAGGTGCTTTATCCTGCACAGACCTGACACCAAGCTGCGATGCACGAAAAAGACAATGGGTTGCAGGAGTTTCCTTACAGGAAATCAAATCATAGGGATTTGTTTGCATTCTTGTACCATCTAAACATTGGGGTCTCCATGGTTTTCAAGAGACAGAGAGGCTTGCAATTGTCCGTACAAGCTCAGCAAAAACCACCCAACATATGGGATCATATGGGGCATGTTCATCCAAACACTTCCCATAGCAGATTATGATCATCCAAATAAGCCCATGTATACTGTATCGGTTGCAAAGTAACCCAGCCAGTCAGGGGCTTTGGTCACTGCTGATCTGAGATTTGCTGAAGTAAACTACATTCCCTATGGCTTCCCCAAATTGTGGATGAACGAACCGGAAAATGAAAAATCATCTTCAGCATATCTAGGTCATATTTGTGCAATCCCCATGGTGCACAACTCGCGGCGCCTGGTTGCAGCTCCCCTATCCGATAGCTCCTCTTCTTTCGCTTCACTTTCTTCATTCTCCCAGCTGTCGGGAAGAGCCTATCCCGATCGAAAAAGTTGTTCACCCTGGAAAAAAAAGGAATTCAATCAACCCCTAAAAAACCTGATGTGTTCGGAAGTACCTCCATCTGTTCCAGCCTTGGAACCCAACCCAAAAATCACCAGCTGCAAAAAGAACGTTCAGCTGCCTCTTTCGCTGCGACCTGGGAACCTGGGACCGGCAGCTCCCCAAGTCCCTCCCGATAAAGTGCCTGAAAATTTCGACAGATCCAGCGGTTGATCATCACTTTTCCCCATGGAACTTCTGTGAAACTGGGGTATACTCCACTTCCAGCCACATACCCCGATTTCAGTTTGCCAAAAATGACTCTCGCCTTCTGGGTCTGATCTGGTATCCCAAGTTTGACTCATTGCCAAATGGTATTGTAGCATCTAGACGACTAATCTAGATCTTGGTTGTGGCCAGGGGTCCCAACCAAATTATACCCCTTAATTTAAGATGAAACCTCGAAAATAGGGTCTGGGAGATGATATTCCATCATATTCCTGTTGGATATGGTTTTTTTTAGGTCACCATGTGAAATTTAGAGGCTGTACTCATCAAGATGGTTCTCCAAGTAGGACGAAGTGGCCGCTTTCCAGCTCCGCGTCGTAACGGCCGTTAACCGCTTCCTTACTCTTCCCCTGGGCAGTGCGAGCTGCAAGTGATGCACAAGTGATACCCTCCAGTACACATACATAAAGCTGTATGTGGAAAATTGTTTCCCTAAGAAATGACAGAAATGATCTACATGTGGTGGATTTTCCATATCTATGTTACTGTAGAGTAGCTTAAAGGCGGCTTAGGTCTTCAGCTTCTGCTTTCATCAAACAGTCAGAACATCCCAGTTCCTGGGAAACTCGATCTCGGGTGCACCTTTCCGTTGCCATCTTTGGAGTCCTTGGATTTTCCTTTCCAGCCATCCTTTTTGCCCTGACCGGCGGTGCACGGCGCACTGGTCAGGTCGAAGCTGCAACTGGCCCTGGGAAGGGCCAGGGTCCACGGGTCGTTCATCAAATCTGGCCTTCTCGTCTTTCCAGTTGTAGTAGCTGTCCTTTCCTTTTCCATCCTTACTTCCTTTCGTCTCCTGTCCCATCATGTCCCATCCGAAAAACGGTCGAAAGCAAGTTGAATGGGTACCCAACCCTCCCTTATTTCCAATATTGGATTATGTCAAAATCCCAAGATATCCCAAGTAAAGCAGTTGAGTAAATCACTCCAGTCCTAACCATCGACCAATCTTCATTAGAGGTTGTAGTCTCACGTTTGAAGTTTTCTACGTGTACCCGAACGGTTACAACGCCCACTTTTTTTGCACCACCAGAGATGAACTGTGCATCACGTCAAATGCTCCTCCCAGTAATTGTCTTTTCCATGCCATGCCCAGCTTCCTAACGTGGAACCGTCATGGCCCCAATGGGAGTTGAACTCGGGGTTCCAAAATGGTTGATAATGGGCCAATGGGGATGGATTGGGATGGTTGTTTGACAGGTCCAACATGGTCCAACACACTATATGCTACTATATGGTGACCTTGCATGGTGCATAAATGTTCATAGGTGAAGATATATTTCAAGTTGATAATCACCAAGCCAAGCAAATACAGTAGCTGGACATGCCAAAACACCCTGCTCGGAAAACTGCTTGAGGAGCCGGCCCTTTCCATCCTTGCCATCTTTACCGTCCTTGCCCTTGCCGTCCTTCCCTTTCCCATCCTTCCCATCCTTGCCCTGGCAGAAAGACAAGCCTTGCCAAGAAAAGGCGAGAATCCACGAGAATCCGCGCACCCCCGCCTTGCCCTTCTCAGCACTTTCATCAACCAACTTGTGCAAGAAGTTGCAGTCCTCGTTTCGACGATTTGAAACTCACCAAAAAAAATGAATGTGCTGCCTCTCTTTGATCATCCTGTTCCGTAACGTGAACCCTGATGCAAAAACTGGTATCTGAAAATAGGGTGCCCCAAATTTTCATGGTTTATCATCATTACCTTCCTTCATATGGCCATTTGCAGGGTCGTTTCCGGTATTTCCCCGTTGTCGCGACTAATGCGAAGCATGACGTCGCGATCCCCGCCTTGCGCTCGCACTTCTCTCCTTCTAAGAACTTGCGGCAGTACCTGGTCCAAGAGGGTAGATGCAGCCAAAAAAATGTCTAAAATTATCTTAAAATCAAAGCAAGAAAAAACTGAAAGTAAATATTACTAATTATTACTGCAGTAAACAATCGAACACCATTCCATCTATGGTCCCCAGGCCCAACAAAGTGTTCCCAGCAGGCACTTGGTGGTGCCAAAGTTGGCCCGGAGAGTGTGGCCATCCACCGCAAATCCATCCACCGCCTCAGTCCCAAGTTCTTTTGTCAGAAACAATCCCTGAAAAAAATGGGAAAATCTATAATTATATAAGGATATATAAGGAAGTTTAAGGAAGCCATGCTGCCTATCAAATCATGGCCAACCTCCGGGTTTCAGTGTACAAGATCCACCTGACGCCCGGCGATTGTCGCTGAGCACAGGACTTGAATTGCAACGTGTGCCTCTTCCGGCTTTTCGAAGGTCAAGTACCTGCCAGGAGATCCAATGATCTGGCGAGAATCACACGTTGAAAATGGGAAAAAGGGGGAATGTATGAAAATCTTGCAAGCTGATTTAGATGGATGATCCACAAACAACTTTCAAGTTGCCCCCAAATGTCAACCCTCCAGCAGGAATTGGGGCATGTTATAAACGAAGGGATTGAGACTCCAAATGAATCCAAGCCTTTATCTCTTACTTCGTTCCCACACCCCTTGCGGGGCACGCGCTATAAATGGGAACACTCTTGTCGCTGTGAAACTTCGACTGCAGGGCGAGGCACAAGTCTGGATTTGGGAAGACTCTTCTAGCAGATCCGATGGATTCTCCAACACCGCAAAAGACATCGATTCATCCAATGGGGATTAATGATGATTACTGATGATTCACGGAGTTCCCCAAAAAAAAATGTCAAACATGGCCGCTGGCGGCCATGCAAGGGGCCTGAACAGGTGCCTTGCTCACAGTGACACGTTGCAGCTTTCCATACCTCGATGGAAACTCTGTGGAGAACACAAGACCAAACGGACTCGGTCACCCTCCACAGCCCCACCGGGGGGCGAGGGGTGACTGCCCTGCGGCGTGCCTCGTGGGCCATCGAAGTGACATGGTTTCTTTCGGGTTGGTTCAGGGTTGTTTCAAGATGTATTGGTGTCAGTTTAGGGTTGGTTTTAGGGTTGGTTTAAGGTTTCTGCAGGGTTTCCTCATGATTTGTTTTAGGGTCTATTTAGGGTTGACTTAGTGTTGGTTTGGGTTTATTTAGGCTTTGTTTAGGTTGTTAAAGGGTTGGTTTAGGGTAATGATGGGTTTCGTCAGGATTTGTTTTAAGGTTGGTTTAGGGTTTATTTAGGCTTGGTTTAGGGTTATTTAGGTATACTCAGGTTTGGTTTATGTTTTATTTAGGGTTGGTTTAGGGCTAAAGTAGGGTTTCGTCAAGGTTTGGTTTAGGGTCTATTTAGGGTTTACTTAGCGTTGGTTTGGGGTTTATTTAGGCCTGGTTTAGGGTTTTTAAGTTTTTAAGGGTTGGTTTAAAGTTAAGTTAGGGTTTCATCAGGGTTTGTGCGAGGATTGGATTAGGGTTTATTTCGGCTTGGTTTAGGGTATAGTCAGGTTTGATTTAAGTTTTATATGAGGCTAGTTTCGGGTTAATGGTTCATTTCGGGTTTCGTCAAGGTTTGTTTTGGGGTCTCTTTAGGTTTACTCTGGTTTTGGGTTTTTAGGCTTGGTTTAGGGTATAATTAGGTTTGGTTTAAGGTGAAATTTGGGTTTCGTCAGGGTTTGCTTAAGGGTTGGTTTAGGGTTTCTGTAGGGTTTGTTTTAGGGTTCTTGTAGTCTTGGTTTGGGGGTTGGTTCAGGGTTGTTTCAAGGTGTATTGGGGTCTATTTAGGGTTGGTTTTAGGGTTGGTTGTAGGGTTGGTTTAGGGTTTATTCAAGGTTGGTTTAGGGTTTATTTAGGGTTATTTTAGGGTTTGTTTATAGGTTTCGTTTAGGGTATATTTAGAGGTTGGTTTAGGGTAAATTTCGGGTTGGTTTAGGGTTTCTTTGGGGCTGGTTTAGGGTTAGTAAGGGTTTCGTGAGGATTTGGTTTAAACATGGTGTAGGGTTTATTTAGGTTTGGTTTAGTGTTAATGTAGGGTTTTGTCAGGGTTTGCCTGAGGGTTGCTTTAGGCTTTACTTAGTGTTGCTTTGGAATTTCTTTAGGAATGCGTTGAGGTCTCTTGAGGGACTCTTTGTTGTTGACGTTCAGTTTTTCCATGTTCCCATGGGTTCCCTTATTTATAGATAGATAGGTAGGTAGATAGATAGATAGATCGATAGATCGATAGATCGATGGGATGGGATGGGATGGGATGGGATGGGATGGGATGGGATGGGATGGGATGGGATGGGATGGGATGGATAGGATAGATAGGATGGATAGGCTAGATAGGATAGATAGGATAGATAGGATAGATAGGATAGATAGGATAGATAGGATAGATAGGATAGATAGGATAGATAGGATAGATAGGATAGAAAGGATAGATAGGATAGATAGGATAGATAGGATAGATAGGATAGATAGGATAGATAGCATAGATAGGATAGACATGATAGACATGATAGACATGATAGATAGGAAGATATGATAGACATGACAGACATGATAGACATGATAGAGAGGATAGATAGGATATATAGGATAGATAGGATAGATAGGATAGATAGGATAAACAGGGTAGATAGGATAGATAGGATAGATATGGATAGATAGGATAGATAGGATAGATAGGATAGATAGGATGGATCGATAGCTTTCAGGGGTGACTGACTCTTTGTTGTTGACTTTCTGTTTTCCCCAGGGTTCCTGGATTCTTCTTTCAGGGTGACCGACTCTTTGTTGCTAACTTTCTGTGTTCCCCGGGGGTTCCTGGATTTTCCTTCCAGGGTGACCGACTCTTTGTTGTTGACTTTCTGTTTCCTCCGGGTTCCTCTATCCTCCTCCCGGCTTCCGAGGGGTGACTGACTCTCGGTTGCTGACTCTCTGTCTCCTCTTCCTGGTTTCCCTGCATCCTGTGCTAGTGTTCACGGGTGACTGACTTTGTCCTTTGGGGTTCCTGACTCGGACGTTTGGGGCGACTACGTAAATGCTTCCCGTATGCTAATCATTGTTTATATATCCATAAACCAAACTGTAAATGGTGGATTTTCGTTCTCATCCAGCAGGTAAAACTATGTCACTTGTGTAGTTCAACAAATGTTTGTCTCAGGATTCAACAGAAACTTCAGCACAGAAGTGGCCCCTTGCTGCCGAGCTGCTGAGCAAAAAATTCTGGGGACTTCAAGATCTCCTCCTTTGCCTTGGAAGAAAAAACATCCAGCGACTGAGAGATTTGAAGAAAAGAATGCCAAAAAGCGCTCCCAACTGACACTCATCATTCAAAATCGCCATTTGAAAGATTTATATACAGTACCTGTCTTTATATATGTCATGTATCGGATATATCGCAATCCTGGAAGCTTGGAGAGAACAAACTCCGAAGCGAGTTCGGCCGTGAGTTGCCACTCCCGGCCATCACTGAGAATGTCACAACATTAGTTGTGAGGCCGATCACATGCACCACATTCCTGGTGTAGCTGTGTCGCTTAGTCCGAAAATAGGGAACCTCCAAAAAATGTGGACATACGGACGCCAAAAACAGTCGATCATCATGCTATGAAAATTGCCTGAAATTGGTGCTTCTTTAGCGAGAACAAACCCAAACTGGGTCCCTGTGCGCTATGTCTTCGGGTTCGGGGAAACACCACCATGGCACGTTCTCACAGATTTTTTTTTCCCCCACGACGACACTGCGAGGAGGACCTATGGACCTATGGACACGGATCAGCTTCACTTTTGTGAATCTGCCAGAAAATTGAAAACACTTATATAAAACCTATCTGGGTTTGTCAATATTTTGCAATATCCGCTTTACAGCCGTTTTACAGTCGCGAATCTTGATATTTTTGATCATAGATTCTTCAGGCGGTGGTTTTCCACAAACAAATCAGACAAACCCACTTTTTCGTCTCTAGGTCGCCCACACGGGTCGCAGGTCCATTTTCTGCCTTTAGCATCTGCGAGCCGACAAGAAGTCAAGCTATCGAGACCAATAAGTGTTGCTAAGGGTCAAACCTTGGTACCCTAAGACAGCAAGAAACTTCAGTAGATCCATCCATGTTTCGCCATTCAACATGGTTTCTTGTGGCACCAATCAAAAAAACGAAGATCTAGGACTTCTTCACCATGGCAAAGAGGCTTTCCAACTTCTTCAGGGGATTCCTTAGTCAGGTCCGCGGCGAATGGCGATAAATGTCATGCAGCCATTCTGAGGCCAGGGCAAGTCCTCCTGGGAATGTCTTCGCCTCGAAACATGGCCCAAATGTCAGATCAAACCATCGGACATCAAACCTCCACAATCCTTTTAAAAAAAATGAAAAAATCAGAATTACCCGTGTCTTTGCAGGATTTTGCCCAATTCTAATTTTTGGACATGATTTTGTTTCAAACCACTCATCATATTTCTTCCAAATCAATTCGCAGCATCAAGGCCCCCACTCAGACATGTCATGCACCGCGGACCTCGCAAACCTGAGGCCAGAAGCAGAACTGTCAAGATTGAAATTTGGTTTAAGGGAAAATGTTTTGGTTGAAACTCTGGTTTTTCCCCACATCTTTGTGGGGTTCTTGTTTTTGATTCTGTACCCAACCCGCCGCCTCCTCCTCCTCCGCCGCCCCCTTTTTTTTTCACGCACAACTTTGTCACGCATCCCTTTTTCCACACAAACTTTGTGACACACCTTCTTTCACACACAACTTTGTCACACACCATCTTTCACACACACACACACAGACACACCTTCTTTCACACAACTTTGTCACACACCCATCTTTCACACACAACTTTGTCACACACACCTTCTTTCACACGCAACTTTGTCATCATACACACCATCTTTCACGCCAACTTTGTCACACACCTTCTTTCACGCACAACTTTGTCACACACACACACAACTTTGTCACACATCCTCTTTCACACACAACTTTGTCACACATCCTCTTTCACACACAACTTTGTCACACACCATCTTTCACGCACAACTTTGTCACACACCATCTTTCACACACACACACACCTTCTTTCACACGCAACCTGGCACTTGGCGACATCTACCTTCACTTTGCGTGGAGGTGTGGCAGGCGTGGCGCTTGGCGACATTGACTTGCATTTTGCGTGGCAGGCCTGGCACTTGGCGACATCCACCTTCGCTTTGCGTGGCAGGCATGGCACTTGGCGACATCCATCTTCACTTTGCGTGGCCGGCGCGGCACTTGGCGACATCCATCTTCACTTTGCGTGGCCGGCGCGGCACTTGGCGACATTGACTTGCGTTTTGCTTGGCAATGGTGGCACTTGTGGCACTGAGCTGGCTCTGGTGCACCCTTGGGCGCGGTTGGTCGCCCGGGCGCCGCCCCACTTTGCGTGGCCGGCCGCCATGGCCGTAGCCATGCCCCTGGCGTTTGGGGTGGGCACCCACAGGGCGTACGCCAAATATTCCTCGACGCTCCCGCGTTGCAGCCACTGCTCGGGGTCTAGCCGGGGAAGTTTCTCAATGGCATCCTCCTGCACTTCCTGGAAGATGAAGAGCCCCTTTAAAAAAACTATCCTCGGGTATCAACTAGGCTACGGAATACTTTGTTTTGGAATAACTTTCCTTGAGCAACTTCTTCAAGGAGCAGGTCCACGAATGTGCATCTCGGAATTTAAAAATCATGATCTAACCCTAACCCCTCAACATACCCTGAAAAAAACTAGGAGCGGGAATCATTTCATCGAAACTTCAAATGGTTTTGATGTCTTTTTCTGCAATTTCTGGGTTAGTTGGGTGACTGTGGCAGCTGTGGCAGCTGCCCGCTTTGGTCTTTGAAGGATGCCGGGCATTTCCACTCAACCTGGCTCTTTCGTGGTGGTTTTTCAGCTTATCATGTTTCTCTCAAGTTCAATCCAAACAACTTTCAAAAGGAGTGGGCAAGGCGCAATATTTCCTGATGGTGTGCTTTGTATGTTCTTCAAATTCTCTTTCAGTCGGCTAGGCAATGCGGGCCGCCCCCCTTTTACCTCTATATTTTTTTCATAAAGGTATCCCTTTATTGGATATTTTTCCCAAACCTAAACCATGTTGGGTTCTGAGAATCATGTTGAACTTCAAGTCCGTGTCCGAAGGATGCTTCATTATTGTGAAAATTATTGACGCGCGTATACTCCTTAGACACACCCTGTCCTGGAAGCTTTGTAATGAGGAGGATGTGGCCAGGAGGTAGCCGACCAAGTCCCGGTCGTTTTGACCCAACGTGGGAAGAAATCGCGTGCGCCGCAGTTGACGTTGGCGGTGCACGAAGGAAAAAAAAAGTGCGTATTTGTGCCGTATGTGCGCGCCAATGAGGTCGTCGTTTCACAACTTTGTCACACACTCTCTTTCACACACAACTTTCACACATACCATCTTTCACACGCACCATCTTTCACACACAACTTTGCCACACACTCTCTTTCACACACGACTTTCACACACACCATCTTTCTTTGCCACACACCATCTTTCACATACAATTTTGTCACACACATTTTACTTGTCGATCCTTCAACACCTCCTTCGTCTTTCCTTCCGTCCTCGTCCCGCTACAACTTGGAAGAAGTTGACTTGTGGGGTTATCCGGTCCTTTAATTCCCATGAAATCTGGGAAAATCCTGGAGACAACTTCCAAAAAATGAAACCAGTTTTCACATGACCCTTCAGAGGGTCTTGAACTTTTTGATGTCCCACACAGCAAAACACCAAGTCAGTGCCTAAAACCGGATCCCTTCAAGAGCGGCTAAGTGCTTGACGTCCACCTGGATCCTCCCGCCCTCAGCCACCGCATTTGTTGGGCAGAAAATGATGATTAACCATTGGATCTACCCCAGTTTTTGGCTATGTTTCATAGTGAAACTGAATATTTATAGTCTTTTTATATAATTTTTACAATACATAGACCACGATTCAGGTCCAGACGCGGGAGTCGACTCCAGTCTTGGTACTCCAGAGAGCAGGGAGACCTGCACGGTTTTTGGGTTTCTGGGTGAAAAATGGTAAGATAGCCCAGGGGCCACAGCTCGGGATTGAAGACTTGCAAGGGGCAAGGGACAAAAGCGAGGGGAACGGGAGAAGCAGGAAGCTCTGGTGAAAGAGCGGTGTGCTAGGAATTGGGAGAGACCAAGTGAAGACCACAGCGCTTGCATCCATGAGCTTACAGATTCAGACACTAATGAACGTAGCAGAAGAAGTATTTCCATGTGACACAAGAACCTGTCGCCCTGTAGGCCCTGTGGGTGTGGCGTTGTCTTTGAAGTCTGGAAGGTTCGACTCCTTCCAGGTTCGATTTTCTTTAACTTCTCTGCCTTCCATTGCTTTGTTTTCATGTTCTCCCTTCCCTCGTTTTCCCCAACGGGAATTGATCCAGGACAAAACTGCTTGTGGAAAAGCCAGCCAGAAGAAAACAGAGGTGATTATTTCTGAAGTTCCATGTGATTGGCGATTCCAGTTCCTGCCCAAAGCAAAAGGGACTTCAGCTAGCAGAAGCTAGTTTTCGTGAAACGCGAGCAGTGTAACAGAAAGTTCCCCACTCAGACTCAGAATGATCGCTTTTCACCGGGAGCCCATTTAATATATTCAAATCTGACACGCAAAGGGCAGTTTCTCATTCCCAAAAAAGATCAACCAACGCCCCAGTCGGCCCCCACCTTCATCTGCGCAGCCTGGGGTGCAGCTAATTGCCTTGGTTTCGGATACATTCCTGGTCCCTTCATGTCACCATCATCTCCTAAGAGCATCTCCAAAGTTTCCGACTCAGAGGAGCCGGAGCTTGCATCCAATGTGCGTCCTGCCGGAACTGCCATGCAGGGGCGGCTGGGACGACTGGGACGACTGGGGCGACTGGGGCGACTGTCCTGTGGCCGAGTTCCCTCTGCCAACAAACCTCTTCACCTCCGCCAGGCGTGACGACAGGATGGGGCTTTGATTCACCTGGCGTCACTTTTTCTGCAACAGAGCAGTGATGCAAAGAACAATCCGGTCCAATATACCCTTCAAGGACAAGCCAGCTCAACGCGGACACAAACCAGAATTACCAGTTCGATGAAGCGGCTCCTTAATCTGCTGGCACTGCACTGATGAAAACTGTACGGTTTGGATGCTGAACAGTGCAAAAACAAGGGGCCCCCGGCCTGGAATAGCGAGCATTTTTGTCAGTATGCGCAGTGCTGATGTCTACCTCAAACTGCAACTTGGCAAAGTGACAAAGAATCTAAGAACTTTGACAATTTGAGGCAACCAAAAAAAAAAGTTCTTGCTTCTCCAACGGTTGCCCACCTCGGATCACCCAAAATCAAGGCTGGACCCCACCTCCATTCCAAGGCTGGCCCCCAAGGGTTGCGGTGCGCGTTGAAAGATGGCCTGGCCGTAGGTAATCCCAATGGGGCAGGATTACTTCGTAATAGTCCCGCTCAACTGATGGTTAAATCCCGCTTTTCACCCCAATTTGGGCAGCCATGGTGTTGACCTCTACATCACCTTCAATGTGGACGCTGCAACGCCTTCAACTCTTGATGAGAAAGCTGACCATCAAAATCGACATCACCATCGGCAAAGAGCCATCGAAGAATCCTTTGAACCTGCAAAGGCTACAATGGTCTAAATTTGGACAGTTCGGTGGATACTCGCAAATTTGAAGATTGGATTTCGATGGTCAAGCAATTCAACACTTGATTACGCTGGCTCTGGAAAGCTCAGTTTTGGTTGGCTTCCAAATTGCCTCAATTGCCTCAAAGTCATAGGAAAGACGTGGCAAGGAAAGCACCCGCCTCCTTCACAAGGTCCAACAATTCACTGTCAGCCTCTCCCAGCATAGCCGTGATCTCAGCTTCCTGCGATTTCGAGCCCAGCACAGATGTGGTAAACCGATGGGACCCCAAATGGAAAATGTTCGGAGTTGGGCCCTATTCAGGTATGTAGTGAGGGAAGGCAAAAAGCATGCAGGCCCACGGCCCCAAAAATGGGCCCGCGTCGCAGGGCAAATCAAAAGAACCTTTCAAAAGGTGCAGGGATGCCCGTGCAGTTCCACAAGCAATGCAAAGACATGTGTACAGCCAGCGGCAGTGATTTGCAACTCACGCCTTAGTAGTTTTTCATGAACTTCTTAGTAGTTTTGCGTCCAAGCCATTGTGATTCGCAACTCGTGCTTTAATAGTTTTTCGCGATATCCTTTCCAAGCCATTGCGATTCGTACCTCATGCCTCATGCCTTAGTAGGCCTTTCATTAAGGTATTGGGGGCGCTTTTTCTCAAAGCCTAGGTGGGCCCAATGCCCCAAAACCGGAGCCTCGGATAAGTAGTAAAGCAAGCTTCTCGGGCATGTACCCTCGGAGTATCACGGATATGTGCTGCTGTCAGCTTACGTCGGCAGGAGCATTCTTGCTGCCCGTATTGGATAGCTCCTGTTTGTGTTTTGTGGCCCCAAAACAGGGGCCAAATTCTGGACCCAAAAATGGGACCACAATATTAAATTAGTAGCCCAGCTGCTAGCTTCAAATTTGTGGCCCCAATTTTGGGCCCATGGTATGTGCGTTTTGCCTTCTGCAAAGAGTGCGTTGAGCTGCGACAGGTTCATTCATGTTTCTTGCGCTTGTGCCAAGATGCTGGTTTCACAGTATATCCAGCCCAAAACGGAGGGTGCATCCACCAAAATCTTGCAATTTAGACTATGGGTTAACAATCTGTGGTCCACTTGGTCATCAAATCTGAACCATCTGGGTACCAAAACACCACCACCAACCAAATTTGTCAATTGTTCAGTCAAGTTGTTGATACCCTTGGGCAATCTTTGACAGAGTCGCAGCCAAGAGAAACTGCCCATGAAAGTAGACGATTTCCAGGTGAATTATCGTTATTTTCCAGGGATTACCAAAGGGTAGAAATCTTGAGCCATACTGGCCATACCCATATGGATCATATGGACATCTCGCAGAAAATTCAGTGCCTCAGCCTCATCTGGCGTCGAAGAGAAATTGGGAAGCGTGGTCCTGCAGGTTTGACATGATGGTTTGACAACTGGGTCTATCCGAAAATATTAAAATTCGTTTGTTTTTTGGTAATTCTCCCCATGAATAAGAGGCCATAACTTGGGACAAAAAGCATCAAGAATCATCAAACATCCTCAAAAATCCATGTTTTTTGGTCATTTTCCCCATCAATTCTCCATGAAAATGGTCTTGTTTCAGCTCAACTTGTGGATCCTCCCGTCCTGGCTGCATTGATGGCCGCGTTCACTGCAGCCATGGCGGCTTGCTGCTGTAGATTCTCCTGGGTCTCAGCAGGTTCGCGGGCCTTCTCGGCGACCTCAGTGGGGCCCCCAGATCATGGCCAAATTTCGTAGGGAACAAGATAAGCTGATGATGAGCAGTGATCAGCCATCCAACTTGGGGTAGACTCCATTTTCAAAGCCAAACGTTCATGTCGAGGACTGGCATCAGCGACTGGCAGAACAAATACGTGCAAATGAAGAGACAGCTGAGATGACAGTTTATCATCAATCTCCCTCTCAATCTCCCTATAGTTTATCCAGTTTAAAGAGGCTTTTGACTGATTTAGGGCCCACGCTACAACGTTCCCGACCGAAAGCCCAGAGGTGGCAATCTTGCTTTCAGGCTGTGGAGGTTTCTTCTTCGCTTCCTGGTGCCGAGCCAAGAGCCACAAGAAACCACACAATGCAGTTACAGTAATTGTGACAAGTCCAATCATAATGGTTACAGTATGACTCAATCATGACAGTTTTTTTGTTGTTGCCGGCCTGATGAAGAGCCTGCAAACGGTGTTTCACCTTCATCGCTGCTAGGCCACTGCCAAAGGGAGAAATGCCTGGAGGTCCAGCCTGGGCGCAGGACATTTTTCAGGGAAAAACAAGGAAAAATGGGAAAAAACAGCGGAAAACCTATAGGAAAACTGTGGGAAAATCTGAAATCTCAATGGTTTGGAATCAGAAAATTGGGCCGGTTTAAGTTTAGAAGTTCGAAAATCATGTTCCCCAAATAGATGGCCATAACTTTGAGTTTTTTTTCCATCCCTCAACTAGACAAAGAAATCACAACAGTGACACCTCGACCTTGCTGCTCGGACGGGTAATGAATTACCGGTTGGTTTGCGAGCTCAATTGTTCAAAATGTCTTACCCTCTGGTGAACTAACATAGCAATGGAAAATCACCATTTTTAATGGGAAAATCCACTATAAATGGGCCATTTTCAATAGCTATGTTAGTTCACCAGAGGGTAAAATATTCAGAAGCAGAATATATTTGATGACAGCAAGAACCAGCCACCAGTGGGTTGACACGGTATGAAATACTCCACCCAGAAAAAAAAAAGAAACACCCAAGTCTCCGGCTTGAGATCGTTGCATCTCCAGTTGATCCATTATTAGTTGCACCCCTTGGGAGAGACCAGAGCCTTAGAGCCATTCAACTTGAGGCAGAAACAACTCCAAACTCGGTTGAATGGAAAATGTGCAGTTCAAAGCCTGGTTTTTCCCGTGAAATACATGGGAAGCCGTCCAATAGGGCACCAAACTATGACAAAAATGTGACCTGAAAAATGTGAAAACAGGTGAAACCTTGCACTGCATGGCACCTGGAGTGGATTTCGATGACTTCACTTCAGATTGTGGGGTATCGCTGCCTGCCATGCACTGTGCAATACTGTGCAGCTATTGCAGCCAGGGCAGACAGGACAAGACTGGGCATGACAAGATACCCAGGCCTGAACTGTCTGAGGAGTCCTTAGTTTGGAGAATCAGACAGATTCTTTAAGTACTTGATAGTAGCCAAAGAAGTGACACCCATGCCAAGGTCGTTTATGGTTTACCATTCACCATGTCTCTAAGGTGGCTTTCTCTCTGGTGCCTTGTTGCAACTCCAACTTTTGCTATGGAGACAACACATACCGAGGATCATCATCAGCAGGAGTTTCCATGGAGTGAGAGGAGCGTGCTGCGCCTCCTTTCGCTGAGAATTTTGCTTCAAATTCAGAGATCTACCGTCTACATTGCCAACCATTGTGCTGGTGTCACCTCCACAACAGACTATTTGGATGAGATGATGTTGTTGGGTCAACCAAGTTCAAGGCATGCTGTTGCCCGGAAAAAATGGGCAATGAATCAAAAGATTGTAATTGTCCGCCTTGAGCTTGACAGTGCCTTCCTTGAGCGCATCTGGCCACAAGTCCAAGGTGTACGGCAACCCTTTCCAAACTGGCTATGGACCAAAACCCAAACACTGAATGTTTTAAAGCCATCCCCAACTCAACTTCCCCACTCTCGCCTTGGGAGAGTCCCCACTTCAACCGTTCTCGCTTCCGCATTTTGTCGCCCACGGTGCTCCCGCGGAAGATGCCCCCCTCTGTATTACTAGGCAAGGCTGAGGCGTCCACTCCAGCCCCACCATCCGGCCGCGATGGGTGCAGCACTCGACGCCCGGCTTTGATGGCCGGCAGGGTCGGACCAGCCCCTGAGGGGCCTGAGGGGCTGCGCTGGGGAAGCTCCTCGTGCCGCTCCTCGCGGGACTCCCTCCGTTCGCCGGCCTTCCGGGTCAGTTGCATGGCAAGAAGCGCTTTCTTGATGGCTGCGCGGCTGCTACCGCTGGCTCCCCCAAGCATTGCCTCGGAACTCAAAGTCATTGGATCAGTGGAACAAAGTCAAGCCATTGGAACAGTCAGCCACAATACAACTTCGGCCTTGACAGGATCTTCCACTTGTGGCAAATGTTGCTCAGCGCATCATGTTGGTTGCGCGTTGGTACTCATGGAAGTGTTTCGTGAGTAAAAGTGCTGCAATGTGAGGAAAGACTTATGTAAAGCCTGTATTCTGAGCTGCTGGGAAAATGAAGCTCGTGGTGCCGTATTTGCAATGTATAATCAATAATTCAGTCTTTGGATTGACGCAAAGATTCTCCTTGAGAGCCAGCCAAGCACTCAAGCAGCTGCAAAAAACGTGGCAGAAAACATGAAAACATCAAACTCGCACTCACAGCCAGGGCTCGGTTTACTGATCCTTATGATATTCCCAATTTCAAGACTGGATACTATATGATTATATAATGATTACATGATACTAGATGATACTATCCACAGGTCCCATAGGTTCATGATTTCATGCCTTAAAGATGGTGGCCCGGCGGCCCAGCGGCCCGGCTCCTCTGCACGACACGAACCTCCGCCAAGTCCCGGCGGCCAGATCTGCCCTGGTTTTTCCGAGATCATGGAGATGTTTTTGGCGTATAGCCAGGTCGTACGACCCAAATTCAATAAAAGTTGGCAAAATCCTACTCAAATAGTGGTGAATTGGTGAATCACTGTTCTATTTTTGGGGGGGTCGTTTATATACACATTATATATCCAAAGATGTATCCAGAGATCCCCAGGGGCAGATCCCCTTCAGCTGAGAGCCTTCAGCTTCTCTGCATGCCGAGCACGCATATCTCTTTCTTGCTCCTAGCGATGGACACCATCCTTTTGGCCGACTGATTTCATGAAGAAATATGACGGCCTATGAATGATGGTCATGAATTGGGGGGGACGAACATGAAGAACTGCGAGCCATGTGATGTGAAAACCACATTTTCGACCCAGTTTTGACCCTTGACATGTGGTTCTCACGGTCTTCGTCAATCTCGCTTCAAGAACTCGCCATGGGTTCATCCGCAAGTCACGTATTTTTGTTGCCTGGTAGAATGGTTAAACCCGAGCAAAACTATGGGCATTTTCTGGGACATATTTTTTGCAGGATGATTTCTCCCGCTGGTGACCATCGTCCCAAAACATCGCTCAACCGTTTCGGGCCTCTCTGGACTTGTCGTCCTTCTTGTTCACACCCTGATGGCTACAGAGACCAGCCATGACAGTTGTATCACCAGCCAAACAAAAATATTACAAAGAAAGAATCGATCGACAGAAATGATGCGTATGGCCTCATATTCGCGTGCTTATGCTGCCAACAAACTTATTATATAGATTCCAATAGATTCCAATAGGATCTTTCGAACAAAAGAGACATGGGCCTGATGGTAAGTGAACCAGTATCGGTGTGCGCACGAGGCAAAAAAAAATGGTCTGAAGAACGAACGGGAGATTTCGTACAAATGACCCACGCTAAAAGAAAAAATGAACACAGCAAGAACAAAAAAAAAACTGCAAATGATGCCTTCTTCTTTTCCGCTTGCTTTTCACGGAAACTTTTCGCACGACCTCTCAAAACTGCACGCACTCGATCGCTGCATCAACTTCATGATCTTCATGGTGTTTTGCGGTTTGTACTGAAAATGCTGCAAATCAAGAAATGAACAAACGCAAAAACTCACCAAAATCAAGAATGAGATCAGTTTCAGTGTAGTCTGATTTTGCAATGCCATGCACGCAAGACCCACGGGCATGTTCAAAATCAATTGAAAAAATGTTTTCCGCAACTGAGCGTCGCGCTTGCATCATACCTAAATTGAGACTCCACATAGTCCTGGACAAAGGTTCGTGCAATTTCCAAAACAAACACGACCGGTCACTACTACACTACCATGTTTCCTGAGCACATGGCCTGTCTGCATGCCGGGCATTTGCCATTCATCTGCTCCACAATGTAGTGGACACAGAAGAGGCAAACCTTGTCGATCAAAGTTTACCAAGTGTTCAGACGGATTTTCGCAAAAAAAAACTGAAAAATGGTGGCAGGTTTCAATGGCCTGGTAGTTGCAGGGACAGGCAAAAAATGATATGTCCGTCTCATCCAGGGTCTGCATGCAAAGTGGACATGATTCATCCTGGCAATGCATTGTGGTTCTCTGGAGTTCCAATCTGTTTTTGGACACAAGACACCACTGTCCTCATCGTCCTCATCGCCCATAACCCAGTTGCGCGCAACCAACGCAGCTAGGCACCTTGGATCATTTGACATTTTTCCCATGTGCAGTGGTAACATATTCACCAGAGTTCTTGGGCCAGGACTGGAGACAAGGTAACCCTAATTGATAGATTTTCTGAGCCAACACACAGGGTATCAACACACAGCGTATCAAAATGTGCTGTTCTTAGTGTCATCCCGTCGGAAACTGGAACATGAATGGCATTCCGCTGGTTCACCGGACCAAACAACTAACCAGAAAAATGCCAGTGCCAGCAGACAAACGGATTGTTCGGGTCATTTTGCATTCTCTAGTCTCACAGCAACATGGCCGTGCAACATGTCAACAAGTCATCATCAGGACTTGAAACGTTAAAAATGCCACCACCCTTGCCGAACCACGTTTTTTAATGTCATCAAAAAATTGTTTGAAAGCACTGTGTTATGCCGTCACTCTGTAAGGCATGATGCTAAGGGGAGAACGCTCTCCGGGCAAAGGTAAATTCGGTAAATCGGTAAATCTGTAAATTATAATTTCGTAGTATCATGATACAACTTTACGAATTTACTGTTTTACGGTTTTACCGCCTCTTCCTCCTCACGCTCAAGTACATTGATACATACGCGTTTACGGGTTTACGGTAAATTTAATAAATTTATCAAATTTACCGTTTTACGCTCCAAAAGCGGCACGCTCAGATCGTAAATTTACGAATTTACCGTTTTACGGGGTGCATTTACCGTTTTAAAGGGCGTTTCTCGGGAACAATGTAATTTACCATTTTACGGTTTTACCGTTTTACGGCGCGCTTTGGCAAAAGACGTGCCGTAGACCCGCGCCTTACACACAGACACCACAGACACAATCAAATGCATGACTATGAATGTTAACACTGCACGATGCCATTTTGTCACACAAAAACAAACACCGCAGAAAACCTTCAACAGTGAAACTAGTCAGTTTGCTAATGAGATGATTCTGGTTGTTTTAATTTTATCCAAATTGCAGTCCAAATATATATGGCGGCTTTCACCATTTTCACCCGACTTGCCAATGAATTCAAAGGAAGTAAGATATGGGTTGGATCCACGTGCCAAGTTGTTTCTCAATGCGATGAAATTTGCAACAATCGTTTTCGGTTGTTTTTCGGCTGCGAAACTGATGCCCTCGCGCGATCAAAAATACCACAGCGGCCAACTACAGAGTAGTTAAAAAACTGAAGAGTCGAGACCGTAGATTTAAGCCTTACTAAAGGCTGTGACTACACTAAACCCTAGCCTGAGTTTACACCAGCATACTAGTGTATAGTACAGATTTGTATAAGGTATACATGATTCAAAAACCTTCTAGACTTCATGAATGTTGCAATGTTGAAGAGCAATTGACGACCATATTGCATTGTAGGGGGTAGCGGTTCACAATACACATACCGGACGCTTTTGTGAAATGAGCATTCTGTAGTCACATTCGACAACTTTCAAAGTTGGCAAGATTGTGTTACATTGCTATGCCTGAACCTGAGATAACTAAAGTTCAAATTTATTCTTCCTCAAACCACGTACATGTGCAAAGGCAGCTGAAGCTCTATTTTGCTCTTGGGATTGGTACGCAGCCTTTCTTAGGCTGTGGGTTAGGCAGAACTGGAAATTCCCAAATGAAGGTGGTGCAAGGGGCAGGCTGGTGGGTCATTGAAGCAGTCGAAACTAAGCAGAAGCCCGCCCACCCTCCACTTGAGAATGAACGTTTGCAATCCAGCGCGTTGCATTTGAAATCAGAAGGTCGTGTCAAACATGACTGAAAGTTCTTCCTCAAACCACGTACATGTGCAAGGGCAGCTGAATCTCTATTTTGCTCTTGGGGTTGGTAGGCAGCCTTTCTCCCCCAATTTTTTCAACTGCTCAACCAATCCCAGCATTTGTATTCTCACATCTGCAGAAACATCCAAAGCGCCTTCAAGTAGCATGAAGTAACTCCTCTTGAGGGAGGATTTGCTATGCTGCAACTGGAAGGAACACGCGCAAACCATGTAAACGCATGGATAGTAGCTTCAGCTTCTACAAACTTTTCAGCAAAGAAATCAACGACATGATTCTCCGACAAGCCTCGCAGCAAAGAAAATTTTGTGCCCTCGTTATCTACGAAGAGCACACATCTCCGATTTACAAACCTTGGTGCCCACAAGCAAAAGGCCACAACGGCCGCCAATGTCTCAGTTTCGAAGATTATCTGTTTCTTCCGCAGCTCACCAGTTCAACTTGACTGACTATGCTATAATCAGCGGCTGCAATTGCTACATATGCGAAGCGACATAAGCAGAACTAGATGGTAGGAGTAACGTTTGTTTCTGCTCCGGTATGATGTTGCCGATCTGTCATGCTATTATGCCTGCAAATGCTTGACGCTGTTTGTCAGCGCTGATCAAGAGCAGTCAAGTCCAGCCTGTCTTACATCCACGGATGCAACGACCACGAGGAAGGAGACGAGTACCTGGCCGGAAATGTGCATGGAACAACATGCTAAAATATGCTTTAAAATGAGAAACCATGCAAAACATGCCAAAAGATGCCAAAATGCGCTATGCAACTGGTAGTTCAGCTTGACTGACTATGCTATAATCAGCGGCTGCAATTGCTACATATGCGAAGCGACATAAGCAGAACTAGATGATAGGAGTACCGTTTGTTTCTGCTCCGGTGTGATGTTGCCGATCTGTCATGCTATTATGCCTGCAAATGCTTGACGCTGTTTGTCAGCGCTGATCAAGAGCAGTCAAGCCCAGCCTGTCTTACATCCACGGACGCAACGACCATGAAGAAAGAGACGAGTACCTGGCCGGATATGTAATGCAACAACATGCTAAAGTATGGTAAAACATGAGAAAGCACACAAAACATGCCAAAACATAACAAAAGCCACAACATGCTTAAACATGCCGAAACATGACAAAACATGCCAAAACATGCCGAAACTAACAAAACATGCTACAACGTGTCCATTCTCCTGTAAAGAACTGAAGTCTGTATATTATTTACTCCTTGTCCTTAAACTTTAACCTCTTACAATATCACATGCACATATATAAACGCGTTTGCATACGTCCCAGCGTCCTACGCAATCCCAAAAACTTAAAACAACCCCAAAACACTAAACATCAAACATGCAAACACAGCACTGGAAAACGACATGTGAAATCTGAAATAAACGACATCGAATCTGACATTTTTTTTCCGTCCAACGCCATATGGCTCTCGGTAGGTCGTTTATCAAGCCGGAAAGCCAGTTGCATTTTGCAAATTCACCGAATTAATGCAGTGGCAACATCATCATGACGACAATGTGCATCAAAAGGAGAGCTGAATGGGATCGATACATAATCCATTGAGCTGTCACCGTGCAAAGCAAAAAGAAAACCAACAAAAACAAAAACAACACCCAAAAACACACAAAACACAGAACCAACAACAAAAACCCCACAAGACACGAACACGGCACGGTTGGTGATCAGCTGGTCAGTTAATCGGAATTGAAACGTATCAGAAAAGATGATAACATTGTATCACCCATAAGATTGCAACCAGGCAAACACTAATCACGAAAAAGCCATACCGCAATCTGTGAGCTTGAGAAGCAACACAGCACAATGCGGAAACCGAGGCCCCCCCCAGCCAGGAGCCTCGAGATCACAAAGCGCGAGCCGCGAGGGCAACGATCTCTTGGCAACAACTTGACACAATCCAAAGGCCAGCAATGACACTGCCATGTGGCAATGGGAAAGTGAAATCAAAAAGGTGAAACGTGGTGTGAACCAGAGCTGAGGTGAAACGACAGACGCGGAAACGGCACTCAGAGCCACCTCAGATTCCTCTCAGGTGTGCTTTGTCTATCTTCACCATCACGAAGACACTCTCAAGTCAGATGGGTCACCGCAGTGAGTTGAGTCCGGTGGGTTGGCATACAGAGGAGTGCTCAATCAAAATGCGCAGCGGAGGTTCTTGAAGGGCAGCTATTATCATTTGTGCGAAGCTCTTCAGTAGGGTTTGGCTGTACCCTTGTTTGCATGAATATTACCTGTTGACGTCTGACTGTACGCTCGGTCGTGTTTGCATGGGCTTCCTCCACACGGATGCGCAGGCTACAGTATGGAGGCAGCTACACGTCGTACTCAGTTGTTCACTAATGATGCCTGACAGAAGTTCAGTTCGCTGTAGCGATGCGCAGGTTGCCTCAAGTGATTGCTGAGTGCGGGCAAGATTATTGGCGTAATCTTCGAGACGAAGGAGAAGGAGTGCTTCGCTGTAGTTCTGTAGTTCGCACCCGTGTAGATTCGTCTGGCTGAGTAGGATTAATGACCTGCATGGCAGCGTTGATCACTGGCTCTTCGGTCCAAACTAACAGCGACGTGTGCCATGGCGAGATGTACTTTGACGTCGTCCTAATCTACTACTACCGAACACGGAAACCACAGAACCCCCTTCCCTCCCAACAGAATACCCCGGACTCACATGAAAACCCATAGGACCCGTGTGAGTCATCTGGAGCGTGGCTCACGTTGCACGGTGCAACCAACCAGACATGGGTCTCGGTGGGCATTTTTTCAAATAATTGGATTGGGGTAACCAGCTATGGGTCTTCCATGTTGGTTAATTGCCTAAAACACATTACTAATAATAGGGATCATGCCTAAGGCAGTCTGTCCCATGAAAACACCTCATGTTGTTACTGGTAGAAGGCGGAGTATCCAATGGATTCTGTCCGGGTGCCACCAGCCGTGGGTCTCCCACGTTCGCAGGCGCAGCTTTGAGCATCACCCCGATCCTGTTGGTCATCTGCTCGTGTGGTTCTTCGTGGGGGGCCGAATCCGATGAGGAGGCTGCGGTGAATTCCGCTATAGGCAGATCATCTCTTACGTCTGGATTCACTATTTGGTCCAGCACTGGGTGCGATTTTTTTTTCCGTCCAACGCCAGATGGCTCTCGCCAGGTCGTTTAACAAACCGGAAATACAATTGCATTTTGCAAATTCAGCGAATTAGATCTGTAGCAATTTCAGTCCTGTCGACCGTGTGTAATCAAAAGAG